CTGGGTCTGCTTTGACAGGGGAAAGAGCCTTCCAGGACATCTGGTTCTTCTCCAGGTGCAGGTAAGCTTGGAACACCTGGACACTGGCCCCTATGCACCCGGGCATGGGGCAAGAGCATCACAATCTTCTCAGATGCAGGGACTGGATGGCAGGCTTTCCTGGACGGGGCAGAAGAGGACTGCTCCACACACATCCGCACCGAGAATTGGGTCTTGAAAGCCATAGTGAATAAGTGTGAGTGTTTGTCAGGGTGTGAGGTTGGTGTGTCTAGCTGAGGGGCAATGTGGTTAAAGGGAAACCACCCGAAGTGGTACTGTCCTCAGGTCCTTCTTCTGCCAACAAATGGCTGTATAATCGTAAGCTAGTCACTTCTTGTTTCTCAATAAAAATAAAAGCCACAGCCATTGCTGGTGGGAAAGAGAAATGGCACAGCCGCTCTGGAAGACAGTTTAGCAGTTTCTTAACAAAACTAAATATACTCTTTTTTAAAAAAATTTTTGTTTTATTGAAGTATAGTTGATTTACAATGTTGTGTTAGTTTCTGGTATACAGCAAAGTGACTCAGTTATACATATATATAATAGTTTATGGACTTCCCTGGTGGCACAGAGGTTAAGAATCCGCCTGCCAATGCAGGGGACATGGGTTCGAGTCCTGGTCTGGGAAGATCCCATGTGCCACAGAGCAACTAAGCCCGTGCGCCACAACTACTGAGCCTGTTCTCTAGAGCCCGTGAGCCACACTACTGAGCCTGTGTGCTGCAACTACTGAAGCCCGTGCACCTAGAGGCCATGCTCCACAACAAGAGAAGCCACTGCAATAAGCCCGCGCACCGCAACGAAGAGCAGCCCCCACTCGCTGCAACTAGAGAAAACCTGTGTGCAGCAATGAAGACCCAATGCAGCCAAAAAAAATTAAAAAAAAAAATAGCTTGCATTTGCTAATACCAAACTCACACTCCTTCCCTCCCCCCTCCCCTTTCCCCCTTGGCAACCACCAGTCTGTTCTCTATGTCTGAGTCTGTTTCTGTTTCGTAGATAAGTCCATTTGTGTCATATTTTAGATTCCACGTGTTAAGTGATATCATATGGTATTTGTCTTTTTCTGACTTAATTCACTTAGTATGATAATCTAGAGGTCCATCCATGTTGCTGCAAATGGCATTACTTCATTCTTTTTATGGCTGAGTAATATATATATACATATATATATACACACACACACACACATACCACATCTTCTTTATCCATTCATATGTCAATGGACATTTAGGTTGTTTCCAATACATATGTATCTACCAATAATTACCTTAAATGTTGATGGACTAAATACTCCAATGAAAAGACATAGTGTCAGACTGGATAAAAAAACAAGAGCCTACATTAAACATACCCTTTTTGAACCCACAATGGTGCTCCTAGGTATTTATCCAAGCAAGTTGAAAAGTTATGTCCACACAAAACCCTGTACATGGATGTTTACAGCAGCTGTATTTATAATTGCCAAAACTTGGAAGCAACCAAGATGTCCTTCAGTAGGTGGATGAAGAAAGAAACTGTGGCACATCCAGACAACGGAATATTCTTCAGCGATAAAAAGAAATGAGCGATCGAGCCACAAAAAGACATGGAGGAAACTTGAAAGCATACTGCTAAGTGAAGGAAGTCAGTCTAAAAAGGCTACATACCGTGCGATTCCAACTATATGACATTCTGGGAAAGGCAAAACTATGAAGATAGTAAAAAGATCAGTGGTTGCCGAGCGTTCAGGGGGAGGGAGGGATGAATGGGCAGAGCACGGAGGACTTCTAGGGCAGTGAAAGTATTCTGTATATTGTAATGGGGGGTAAACGGCATTATACATTTGTCCATAGAGCGTACAACACTCAGAAAGAACCCTAATGTAAACTGGGGACTCTGCGTGGTCATGATGTGTCAGTGTGGGTTCAGGGACTGTAACCACGCTGGTGGGGGATGTTGGTGGTGGGGAGGCCATGTGTGTGTGTGTGCGTTGGCGGGGGCCAGAGGGTGTATGGGAACTCTCTGTACTTTCAGTTTTGTTGTGAACCTAAAACTGCTCTAAAAAATTAAGTCCATTTTAAAAAAGGGACCTAAAAACATACAGGCTATCACTGTTGAGTGCTTACTCTGTACCAGCAGAGTACTGAGCACTGCACACCCACTCTGCCTTTAGTCCTCACAACCATCCCCAGGTTACAGATGAGGACGCTCAGGCTCTGAAGGATAGGTGACTTGTCCAAGGGCGCCCAGCTGGTCATTGAAGAGCCACAAGCGACTGTAGCACCTATCCTTGGCCACCTTTCTGCCTCAGTTGACTGTCCAAATGGTAGTGATGATGACAACATCCCCGCCTGCGAGGTTGTGAGCATTAAATGAGCCCTGGGTGAAAAGGTCCTTTGTAGAGGTTTGCACAGAAGTTATTATTTGATTAAGTTGCTGTGTAAAGGGATGTGTAATAAGCTCTTGGAGAGAAGAGTTCAGTTTAAAGCAAGGGCGTGGCCTTTCTCAGACCTGTGGGGACGGGAGGTGTATAGGTTGTGGAGGTGCCAGGGCTCTCACCTCCTCTCCACGTGCTCGGGGGTCCTGGTGGCGGCCGGGGCCATCCCAACCCACTGCCTGCACATCGAGCCCAGGACCCGGCCCTCAAGCAGCAGTGAGGTAGAGCGCAAAGGAACGGGGGCAACCCCTCCCTATTTTTCACGCTCAGGATGGAGCACAGAGCTGACCCCGAGGGATCTAGCATGGCGCTAGCAACCATCTAAAGCCATTCAAGCCTTTAAATCCCTGTTGGGTCTCTCATTAGCTGAGTGAACTTGGATGAGTTACTCAACCTCCCTGAACTTCCATTTTCTCATCTGCAAAATGAGGATAACTCCATAGGGTTATTGGAAGGATTATGTGAGATAATGTACTTAAGGTGACTCAAACCTAGTAAGCCCTGCATGATAATTGTGTCATGGTTATGCAGCCATCCTTCCTTATTACGACACGACTGAGGTGGAACCCAGAGAGTGCAAACAGCTCGTCCCAGGCTACACAGCCGGTTTGCGGCAGGCCTGGGCTTCCTCTGCAATCATTTTCACCCCTGCCTTGGTCGGGCCTTTTCTGAGAATCCCTCACAGATCAAACAAATCGATAGCCTGCATTTCACACCCCGGTCAGTAGGCCCTGCCCCCATTTGGCAATGGAATTAGAAAACCACAGGCTGTTACTTTTTCCCGGCTATGCCACTAGTTTGCAAACTGGGATGATTTCCTTGAGTTCCTCAGTGCTGAGCTCCGCCCCCTTCATCTGAGATGGGCCTCCCTGTGGGCTCCAACAGATCAGCAGATCTCCAAGAACAATATTAGCATTCCAGAGCCCCTGGCCTGCTCATCCTACAGCCACATCAGTATCCAGACACCCACCCCCAACTCTGCTGAGTGGACCCCGATCATCAGCATTTCTCTGACTTGGTGACACCTTATCCCCTCCTCACAAGTGCTGCCTGACATGCAGGTCTTTTATACAATTAAAGTGAATTAAAAGTATGTAATTCTGCTTGGAACATTTCGCAACAGCCCTGCAGATAATGACAGACACCTCGGCATTGGGAAGCAGAGCTGGGAGCTCTGGCTCCCGTCAAAGCTGGCTCTGATACCCCAAAGCCAGGCATTCGGTGACCAGCAGTCTCTGCCCTGGACAGATCTCCCCGAGGGAGTCTTTGCTACTCTGAAACCCCTGCTTCCTCCCATCCCCACCTCCCACCATTTCAGAGCCCTCGCACCCCGTAACCACTGCCTCGTAAGCCATCATTCCTCCCCCTTCCCTGTGCCACAGGTCCTGCTGACGGGGCCACCCCATGGGCCCAAGGAGCAGGTGTGAGTGGGTGACTGGTTGAGGGTGGGATATGGCACTGTGGAGACCCTGAAGGGGTCCTCGCCTGCCAGGCTGAGCTGGGAGATCCATGGAGGGTCCCCAGGAATGACCACTAGCACTTAGGCTGTTCCAAGCACTTACCAGACAGTAACCTATGAAGTAGATACTATTATTACCCCTACTTTAGAGATGGGTAAATTGAGGCCCAGAGAGGCTAAGTAACTTGTCCAATACCACACAGCTTGAAACTGGCAGAGCAGAGATGTGGGCCCATCATTTGGGCCAGGGTGCCATTGGAACATGGGAACTGGCTACCCCCTAAACTAATCCCACCCACCCAATCACCTCTCCCCTCTGCCACTGACAGGTGCCTTCTGTGTTATCTGCAGTTACATCTTCGAGTCACGGCTGGGTTCTCTCTGCAAGTCAGGACAAGCACACAGGGTGGCTGGCCACAGGTTGAAGGCCCTCTGTCTGCTTTCCCCGCCCACAGACCCAGCTTGGGAACCCTTCGAGGGTGCTATGATCTGAATGTTTGTGTCCCCCCAAAATTCAAATGTTGAAGCCTAACCCCCAAGGTGATGGTATTAGGAAGTGGGGCCTTTGGGAGGTGATTAGGTCATGAGTGGAATGAGCACCCTTGTAAAACCAGCCCCAGAGACACCCCTTGCTTCCTTTCCACCAGGTGAAGACACAGCAAGAAGTCAGCTGCCTGAGACCCTGGGAGGGCCCTCACCTGACCATGCTGGTACCCTGATCTTGGACTTCTGACCGGCAGAACTGTGAGAAATAATTCCTGATGTTTATTTTTTTATAAATTTGTTTATTTAATTATTTATTTTTTGGCCACGTTTGATTTTCATTGCTGTGAGCGGGCTTTCTATACTTGCAGCGAGCAGGGGCTACTCTTCCTTGAGGTGCGTGGGCTTCTCATTGCGGTGGCTTCTCTTGTTGCGGAGCACGGGCTCTAGGCGCGCGGGCTTCAGTAGTTGCGGCACGTGGGCTCAGTAGTTGTGGCTCGTGGGCTCTAGAGCGCAGGCTCAGTAGTTGTGGTGCACGGGCTTAGTTGCTCTGCGGCATGTGGGATCTTCCGGGACCAGGGCTCGAACCTGTGTCCCCTGCATTGGCAGGCGGCTTCTTAACCACTGCGCCACCAGGGAAGTCCATTCCTGATGTTTATAAGCCACCCGATCGGTGGTATTTTGTTATAGCAGCCCCAGTGGACTAAGAGAAATGGTGTTGTGCCGTCACCTCGCTGCCAGGATGACCTGGCCGGGTCTGTGGCCAGCTGCCTTGCACACACCATGCAGACCTGGCAGTCAGCCCCCAGGCAGCAGGTCCCAGGTCAGGCCTAGAAGCTCCCGCAACCCTAGGAGAGGCTGCCGGAGACCTTGTCCTGCACCTGCTACTTGTCTTGGGGCTAAGCTTGCAGATGGGGCCGTGGGAGGTGGGTGGGGACTGAGGGAAGGCACTGCCTCTGGCTCTGCCCTACCTGCCCCCTTCCCCAGCTCTCCCTGTCTGCACCAGCTGCACCAAGGCCCTGCCACCTGCTTTCATGCCCTTTCTCATCCAGTCAGACCTTCTCTCGTCTCATCAAAACACACAGCCTCAGTTCACTGACATCTAATGAGGAAATGCCTACACCACCACTCAGCACAGGGCCTGCCCACAGCCAAGCAGCCCAGTCCTGCCTCTGGCCTCTGCTCCATGGCTCCTACACCGCCCGGCAAAGGGCGGCCCCTTTAGGCCCGCTGCCATTGGCAACACGCTTCTGCCTCCTCTCTATCTGGGAAACTTTTTCTTATCCTTCAGAGCCCAGCAGAAGTGTCACCTCAGGTAGTGTCACCCAGGCGGGTGGGAGCCTCCACGCCAGCTGCCGCTTCTCAGACCATGAAGCGAGAGGACTTGAGGCTGTTGATTTGTTTGACGTCCCTAGACTGAGCTCCCCAAGGATGGGCACTCATCTCTTCTTCTTTCCTTTGGATTACTTAAAAAAAAAATCAAATTACACAAGTCATCTGTGAATATGTGCATACTGTAAAAGAAAAAAGTTAGAACAATACACAAAAAGCCCCGACGCCCCGACGCCCTCCCCATGGTTAATAGTTGTGTGAGTTTCTTTCTCTCTCTATAAATTGATTTAGTGTCTTTTTCCATAAGTGAGATTAACCTATAGGTGTTGTTCTATGGCTCGTTTTTTTCACTTAATCATAGATTATGTGTGTGGTGGGCAGAATAATGGCCCTTCTCCCAAAGATGCACATGTCCTAATCCCCCACATCTGTGAACACGTGACCTTCCATGGCAAAAGGGACTTTGCAGTTGTGATTAAGTTAGGGATCTTGAGATGAGAAGGTGATCCTGAATCATCTGGGTGGGCGCCATGTAATCGTAGGGTCTTTATAAGAGGGAGGCAGGAGGGTCAGAGAAAGATGGATTGGAACATCTTACCCTGTTGGCTTTAAAGATGAAGGAAGGGGCCCCAGCCAAGAAATGAGGTGGCCTTTAGAAACTGGAAAAGACAAGGAAATGGGTTCTTCCCTAGAGCCTCCAGGAGGAATACAGCCGTGCAGACATCTTGATTTTAGTCCAGTGGGATTTCTGACCTACAGAACTATAAGAAAATAAATATGTGTTATCTTAAGCCAGTTCGTTTGGGGGTAATTTTCTACAGCAGCAGTAGGAAACGAATATAGTGGGTATACAGCTGAGATAAACAATAATATTTATGGCAGTAATTAGTATTTATTGAGTATATACCATATGCCAGATGCTGTTCTAGTGCTTTGGGTGGTATATTAGTATGCTAGGACTGCCATAACAAAATACCACAGACATTTATTTTCCCAGCATTCTGGAGGCTAGACAGCCAAGATCAGGGTGCCCACAGGGTTCATTTCTCCTTCAGCCTCTTTCCTTGGCCACCCTTTTGCTACCTCTTCACATGGTCTTTTCTCTGTGTGCCCATTTCTTTGTCTTTTCCTCTTCTTACAAGGACACCAGTCATATTGGATTAGGGCCAATGGCCTCATTTTAACGTCATCACCCCTTATAGGCCCTAATGGCCTCATTTTAACGTCATCACCCGTTATAGTCCCTGTCTCCAAATAAATTCTGAGGTACCAGGAGGTTAGGGCTCCAACACGTGAATCTGGTGGGGGACACAATTCTACTCATAACATGTGGATTATCTCATTCAGTTTCCACAGTAACCCAGTGAATTAGAAGCATTATTATCACAATTTTACAGATAAGAAAACAGGCACAGAGTGGTTAAGTTACTTCCCCAAATTTACACAGCAAATAAGTAGCAAGGCCAGGTCTGGGAATCACCTGTTCATATCCTTTGCCCATTTTTCTATGAGGGAGTTATCTGCTGTTTTAGGTTTGCAGGTGCACGGGTGCTCAGGAAGCATTGAGTAACGAATGAATGAGTGGGAGTAGCTCCCAGGACTCCTAGAAGAACATGGGCCAGGCTGGGCTGAGCCTGAAGGCTGCTTGTACCCACACCTCCCCAGGATGGCAGGAAATGCCTCCAGGGGAAAACCAAGAACCAAGCAGGAGGTGGGTGGCCAGGAGGTGTGGTGGGGGAGGGATGGTGCCACCCTCTGTTCACCAACTGAGCACACTCCTGGGAGGCTTTCTGGACAAGGGGGACGGTCTGGTTTCTCTTAACCCTCAAGGACCTGCGGCAGACAATTTTGTAGCTTGAGGTGTTCCGCAGACAGTGTTGGGATGCTAGAGTCCAATCACTCCACCTGTAGCTCCAGATTCCAGATTTCAGTTACTCAGATGTCCTAAGAGAGCTCCTCTTCGATATGGACAATCCAGGCCAGCTGCAGAGGAGGGATGGCCAGTGATTGGCTAGCTGCTGCTTGGACACAGGTGGCTGACCAACACCCATGGCCGAGGCCGGGCTTGCCTTGACCTGGCAACTCATTCTGGTCACTGTGGCAAAGGAGACAGCTGCCCATGAGGCCCAGGCAGGTCTTTGGCTGGCCGCCCAAATCAATGGGAATGCCCCAGTTACCTCTCGGGGACAGCAGATAAAGATGGCCTCAGGGCACTCGGCCCTCAGAGCATGGAGCTCCAGCAGACCCTTCCCACATCAGACTCTCAGCTGGCTGTGGTCCAGGGGCCACCACACAGCCCACCATCCCTGCTTCTTGACCTCTTCTCTCCACTCCATCCCAGTCTGTAACAGCAGGAGGTAGAGACACTCAGCAACAACTTTATCTTGATCCAGTATGGTACTCATAGAGGGGAATTCAAGGGCCATAGAAGCCAAGAGAGTTCCCATTTCATCATAGGTTCTTGGTGTGAAAAGGTGTAACTATCACGTAGCCCCACTCTTCCCACTCAGCATTACAGGAGTTGAATTTCCTATACAACATTCCCAGGGCAGAACGATTACCCAGCCTGGAGGGTTCTTCCTTCCATCGGTCCCTCCTTGCACTGTAACCCATCTGCTTGCTGCCTCTTCCACCCGTCATCCCCACAGGAGATGGCCATTCCCTGTTCCTCACGGCTCTTCAGAGATTTGAAGGCGGCAAATGGGTCTCTTCCTCTAAGAGAAGAGTTATGGGTTTCAGCAGGAGGAAAGAGATCCAGCCCTGTCAGTCCCCAGGGAAGGTCTACCCTGAGTTTCAGGCCCACTGCAGAATGGCTTTGCTTTACCAACCTTCTCTATGAACCTGCATGTGGGCGCAGAGCAACAGTGTGGGTGGGTCTCTAGGCCCTTTGGACTGCAGACACATAGCCTTGCTGGCTGGGAAGGCCTCAGCCCACTGTCTGAATCCCGGAGGCATGTTTCTGGGTCCCTAGGGCCTGGAGATAGGGACACAGCGCCCCACAGAGAGCACTGACCTTGGAATTTGACCTCCCGGCTCCCTGTTGTGGTTTCACCACTTCTGAAGCTTGAGTTTCCGAGCTTTAGTTTCCTCCTCTGTAAAATGGGGAAATATCGTGTTGTTGTGAGGATCAAATGACATCACATATGGGAAAAAGCTTTGTCGACCAAAACATGCTCTGCAAATGAGTAACCGGTTCTAGTGATTAGCAAAGGGGGTGTGGGGCTTGGACTTTCTTCGTTCTGGGCCTTCCTAGGGGGTGAGTGTTGAAGCAGAGTTGGTTTAAAGGGGGCTTTGGACTCCTACTCAAGCCCTGTGGCTGGTCCTTGGCACCCTGGGGGGCTCCCCACTGCGGGGCTCACAGCCCCCCATCCTGCATGATACCTGCAGGGCTTCTGTGCCCGTGTCTCCAGGAGTGGGTTCTGGCCCAAGTGCCTCAGCCCCGCTTTGGAGACCTGGAGAGAGCGGGTAAGCCTCACGAGGTGAGGGTTTGGGATGGGGGTCAGGTGGGAGGTACAAGGTAGGGCCCCCTGTCTTTCGGTTGGTTCTCCTCTCTTCTCAGGAGACCCCAGGGCTGCCCGCCCAGAGCTGCACATGCATGGCCTTCAATTTAGACAGAGGCTAATTCTAATTCCCCAGTAGAATGGGTTTATTGAGAGAAGCAATGGAGGATTTGGGAGTTGGGGCCCAGCCTGATGACAGTGGAGGAGTATGGAGTAAGGGGATCTCATCTAATCCAACCCATCATTGGACAGATGGGCCCCTGGAGGGGAGGGCTGTCCCAGCCCACTAGTGGGGGGCTAGATTTGCTGTGTTGGGGACTCCTGTGTCCCAAGCCAGGGCTCTTTCCCGGCAGCTTCCTTGGGTCTCTGCAGATTCTGTGCTTCCAGCCTGCGGCCTGTGACTCCGGCCTGTCTTCTGGCAGGCCTGAGCCCCATGAATGGACAGAGATGGCTGCCACCCTCACCCTCCTGGTGTCACAGGAGCAAGAGGCCAGGAGCCTCCACAAATTGCAGCGTGTTGCCACCTGCCTAACCCCAATCCGGTTTATCCTGAGTTGGCAGATGCACCAGTGGGACGTACTTCCCAGGCGGGGCCAGGCTGGGCAGCCCCATCCTTCCTCATGCCACAGGCCGCAAATGCGGGCGTGGGGGGGGGGCGCGGGGGGAAGGGGAGACAGGCCTGGATTATCTGGGTGGGGGGCAGGCAGCTTGTTTCAGTGGAGGCACATCCCCACCCCAAGACGGTAGCATCCATTCCAGGGGGCAGCAGCGCTGCCGGCATGGGCGTTCGCCCAGCTGGTGCCAGGGACGGGGCAGGTGCCGGGCTTTGACGGTGGCCTCCCCTCTCTGCCTGCCCATCCGCTCTGCTTGGGCTCCCCAGCTGTAATGCAGAAACAAGTCCCATCCCTTACCTGCCTGGGGGTCACTGAGCCGGAGTGAGGTAATGTCGGCGTGGCTCAGCCCTCCCCTGAGAGAGGCAGCCTCTAATCACAAGTCCACCTGAACTGCCTAGAGCTCTGCTGGGCTCCCTCTGGGGCCCCTGCTGCTTCCTGGCCACCTGGAGACCCGGGAGCTGGGCCAGTGTGCAGGCTGCCCAGGCCCGTCCTAGGCGTGGGAGAGGGAGCTCCCAGCACCCAGCTTTCTGGGCACCCCGGCCCTTGGTCTGGATTAACTCCTCACAGCCGATTGTTCAGGGTTCAAGGAGCCGCCCGCTCCTGGCATTCTGGTTCCACCAAGAGTCTGGGCGGCCAGGCGCGGCCGGGGCCTAATGAGCAGGGTGTGCCCCGAGGAGTTGTTAGGAACAGGGTGACAGCTGTGGGCAGGTCCCCACCCTCGGCCCTCAGGCGGGCCGGCTTGCACAACAGTTACCTGTGCTGCGGACACCATGTGGCATCCTTGCCAAGGGTTTATTTTTAAAAAACAAATACTCAGCTTTGGTGGTAGGGGTGGAGAAGGTTTCTAAATATTTAAAAGACATCATGCCAGCACTTTTGAACCCCTAAATCTATTGTATTGGGAAAGATGATGCAAGTTTGTAAAATTGCTCCCAATTACAAACAGGGTAGAACGCCAGACACATACCTAGGTTCTTGTCTCCCTCAGCTCGCCCCTTCCCCATGATTTTAAAAGGAAAAGATTTCTGCAATCACTGGGTGATTGTGGGCAGGTGGGCCTCACACCGCGGCCATCCTCCACACCTCGGTCAGGATGGGCTTCCTACTCTCTGCTCTCTGCAGGCAAACGTAACTGCCTGTTATCCCTTCCTGGGTTGAAAAATGCTGGCAGGAGGGTGGATTCCTGGGCCTGGCTGGTTTTCATGATAGGGCTGTCACCTAAGATCTTCAGCAGCTCATGGAGTTCGGGACCAAATCAGTCCTCCAAGTAACGACCAAGTGGACTCAAGATGCCGTGTGTTTCTGTGTGTCTTCTCTGTCTTCCAGAAGCAGGTCTCCTGCCCGGTAGCAGGAGTTAGTCTGATGGACACATGGGGCCTGTCGAGAAGGGTGCTGAAGTACGTGTGAGTGTGTAAGTGTGTGTATGTGTGTGTGTGTGAGCCGGGAGTCTCGCATTCAGGGTCCCGCTGTCAGCTGGGAGGCTTCCAGCTTAGAAATGGGACTGCGGAACCAGAGGGCTCAGTGGGAGAGCTGTGGGGAAGGCAAGGGCAGGTGGGCCTGAGGAGAACACTGCAATGGTAGCAACGTGTTCCGGAAGCTGGGTGGTTGCTGCTGGGTCTAGCAACATAGGGAGAACTTGGGGACACCAGACTTCCAGTGGGGTGGGGCAGGCTGTTCCTCTAGAATCTCTTTCCAGTATCGTAAGCACTGGGGCCACAGCGAGGGCATCTGCTGAAATTCAGCCAGTCGGCCATCTCCATCATCGAGCAGCTTCACCGTGCACCGCGGCAGGCTCTGGGGATACCCAGAGATTAGCCGTCTCTGGTCGGCACAGCTCCAGGTCTCACTCTACCCCGGATCTCTCTGCTGAGCCCCAGACCCTGTCGAGCTGCCCACCTGACACCACTCATCCAGTCTTCACAGGGCTGCAGGGGGAACACCATTGCCTCTGCTAGAAACACCAGGGGGATAAAAGAGAATGCAAACCTCGTCTCTGCCCACCCCCATCCCCCCAGTCCCTGTACTCCAGACACAACAGCTCCTTCAGGCTCTGGGACAAGGCAAGCTCATTCTTCCATCCACCTCTGCAGCACACCGTAACTGCTATCCGTCCCTCCATTTTTCCAATTTATTTCAGAAAAATTAAGATCTCACCTTCCCTCTTCTGGGGAGCATTCTCAGTCAAGCCCTTAAAATCTGTCTCAGTGGAGGGAGTTTCCATCACCAGCAAGCAAGGGAATAGGGTCGTTGGAAAGACCTGGAGGTTAATTGTTAGAGCATATGACTGCCATGAGGGGTGGGTCAGAGTAGAACATCTAGAACTATCTTCAGTCTTACAAATGAGACAGTTCTACACTGTGATGGAGTGAGGTAAGGGGGCAGGAACTATGTCTAATTTAGCAGGAGATGTTGGGCAAGTCCACTCCTCCTTCTGAGCCTCCATGTTCCCATCGACAAAATGGGAATGATGGGTCCCACCTCTCAGGGTGTCAAGAGGACCAAACGATATATACCCCTTATGAACATTTTTAACACAGACCTGACCCGTAGGAGGTGCTTAATAAGTGCCTGCCAGCTCTTTTTCCCCTTCTCTCAAGGCAGCAGGTACTGCAAAGGCCAGGAGAGTCTAGAGGTGCCCCCAACGCATTGACATCCCCCAGGGCACTTCTGGGACGATGAGGAGGTAGAGGGGCTAATCCACAGGGACTGTGACAACTGGGCATTAAGAAATTACCAGCACTGTGGCCATGATGCTGTTCTCTTAATTAGCCCGAGTCAATGAACAGCATGCTTCATGATTCGCTGCTTCTCAACGATACCCTTTCTGCTTGCCTTCCTCCCACTTGGCCCGACTGTCGCCACCCCCATCCCGCTGTCCGCATCACCCGTCAGCCACGCAGCAGGCCTAGATGTCAGCCACATGTGGGAGGAGGGGGTCGACTCTCCTCGGCCCCCTGGGCCCCCAGCCTGCCCCTATCTGGTTCTGGGACCAGCTGAGCCCAAGGGAAGTCCCAGCGGGTGCTGAGGAGCTCTGTGTAGGAAGCCCTGAGTTAGCCTCCCGACGGGGGTGACAGATGACGGACTTGGCCAGGGCCACATGGTGTGATAGGGGTGGAGCTTAGGCTGGTGCGCTGAGGCCTCTGGTGCAGGCACCCAACACGCTCCCCTCGCCTACCTCCTTCCTTTGGCCCTGCCGCACACAACTGAGGCAGGACCTTGTCCTTCTTGTCCGTACAAACCTCCAGGGGACTGGCTGCACCAAGTTCTCAGAAAATGGGTTCATGGAAGAGGTCTCCTGAATCTTCCAGCTCCATCCCTCTCTGTCCTCTGGGGAGCCGAAGCGGGCAGAGACCTAGGAAGTTTAAAGGGTCCACCGTGTTCCTCAGCCCTACGGCGGTGCCCACTTACTTGTCCACGGCCGCCCGTACCACCTTCCATGCCCACCGATTTCCCTTGCTTCTTTGAGTTCAAGGACTACATAAATATTATGAAATTAACTTGTTTGTGTTTGACTCCTCGTGAGTAAGGTTTGTTAGGTTGTACGTGGTAGCATATTTTGTTTGCTTTTTTAAATTGTGGTAAAATACACATTACATAAAATTTACCGTCTTAACCGTTTTAGGTGTACAGTTCAGTAGTGTTAAGTATATTCACATTGTTATGCAACCAATCTCCAGAGTTTTTCATCTTGCAAAACTGAAACTCTAGACCCATTAAACCCAGCTCCGCAGTTCTCCATCTCCCGAGCCTTTGGAAACTGTTTTCTTTGCTTTTTATTGAGGTATATATACTCTGCATATAGTGAGATGCATAGATCTTAAGCGTAAAACCGGATGAGTTTCGACAGATGCCTGTATGTGTAACCACGTCTCCAAACAAGATACAGCATCTTTCCATCACCTCACAAACTGGCCCTATTCTCCTTTCCTTTTTCTTTTTTTTTTAAAAAAAGTTTTATTAACTATAATCATAATCACCATGTTGTACATTAGATCCCCAGAACTTTTCTGTCAATCCCCACCTCCTCCTCTGAGGCAACCAATGTTCTAATTCCTATCATTATAGATTAGTTTTGCTTGTTGCAGAACTTCATATAAATGTCATCATACTATATGTACTCTCTTGTGCTGGCTAATTTCTTTTAGCATAATATTGTTGAGATTCATCCATATAGCATCTATCGATACAGGCACACCTCAGAGACCTTGCAGTTTCAGTTGCAGACCACTGCAATAAAGCGAATATTGCAGTAAAGTGAGTCACATAATTGTTTTGGTTTCTCAGTGCATATAAAGGTTATGTTTATACTATACTGTAGTTTATTAGGTGTGCAATGGCATTATGTCTAAAAAAATGTACATACCTTAATTAAAGAATACTTTATTGCTAAAAAATGCTACCTATCATCTGACAACACAGGGTTGCCATAAACCTTTAATTTGTAAAAAACAAAATATCTTCAAAGCACAATAAAGTGAAGCACGGTAAAACAAGGCATGCCTGTAGCTTGTTCATTTCTATTGCTGAGTAGTATTCCAGTGTACAAAAATACCACAGTTTGTTCATTTATCCACATATGGATGGATGTTTGCTTGTTTCCAGTTCTTGTTGTTACGAGTAAAACTGCTGTGAACATTTTTTTTTTTTTTTTTTTTTTTGGCGGTACGCAGGCCTCTCACTGTCATGGCCTCTCCCGTTGCGGAGCACAGGCTCCGGACGCGCAGGCTCAGCGGCCATGACTCACGGGCCCAGCCGCTCCGCGGCCTGTGGGATCTTCCCGGACTGGGGCACGAACCCGCGTCCCCTGCATCGGCAGACGGACTCTCAACCACTGCGCCACCAGGGAAGCCCTGCTGTGAACATTTTTGGACACGTGTTTTGGTGACTATAATGTTTTCATTTCTTTCTGGTAAATGCTTGGGAATGGAACTGGTGAATCATAGGGCAGGTGTATGTTTAAATTTATAAGAAACTGTCAGTTTTCCAAAATGGTCAGACCATTTTACACCCCTGCTAACAATGTCTGAGTCCCAGCTGCTCCCCGTCCTCGCCAGCATTTGGAATTGCTGGTCTTTTTCAGTTGAGCTCTTCCAGTAGGTGTAAAATGTGGCCGCACAGAGGTTTTATTTGCGTCTCCTGATTAACGCAATGATGTTGAGCAATCTTTATTTGTTTATTGGCCAATCTTCTTTTGTGACATGTCTGGTCAAGTCTTTTGCTCTCTTTTATTTATTTACCTATTTCTTTATTTGGGGGAGTCCTTTTTATTATTGCTCTGTTGATATTCTCTACATATGCTGGATACCAGAACTTTGTCAGATATATGTTTGGTGAATATTTCGTTGTAGACTGGCTTGCCAATTTTTGTAACAACGTCTCTTGATTTTTAAAACATCTTGATGAGGTCCGATTTATAAATCTTTCTTTCAAACAATGTTTTGTGCTTTTTGTGACCTGTTTAAGAAAACTGCCTTCTGCAAGATCATGAAAATTTTCTCCTCTGTTTTCTTTCAGAAGCTTTATAGTTTTAGCTTATCTGTTTAGGTCTATAATCCATCTCAAAATAATTTTTGAGTATGATGTGAGGTAAGGGTTAATGCTCATTTTTTTAATATATGAATATCCGGTTGTTCTAGCACCGTGTAAAATGAAAGACTTTCCTTCCCCATTGAATTACCTTGGTGTCTTTGCTGATTTGCTAATAATCAGTTGACCATATGTGTGTGGATACATTGGGTTGGCCAAAAGTTCGTTCGGGTTTTTCCATAAGATGTTACAAAAATCCGAATGAGGGCTTCCCTGGTTGCGCAGTGGTTTAGAGTCTACCTGCCGATGCAGGGGATACGGGTTCGTGCCCCGGTCCGGGAGGATCCCGCATGGCGCGGAGCGGCTGGGCCCATGAGCCGTGGCCGCTGGGCCTGTGCGTCCGGAGCCTGTGCTCCGTGATGGGAGAGGCCGCAGCGCAGCGGTGAGAGGCCTGCGTACCGCAAAAAAAAAAAAAAAAAAAAAAAATCCGAATGAACTTTTTGGCGAACTCAATACTTCTAGACTCTGTTCCCTCGATTCCATTGTCTATTCTTATGTCAATACCCACTGTCCTGATTACTAGAGCTTTATAGCAAGTCCTAAACTAGGTAGTGAGAATCCTCCATGGGGTAGCACAGTTTTGAAATACCAACAATTCCCTCCAGTATTTATTCTCTGCCCTTTTCACCACTCGGGCAGTTCTGTGCTGATTGCCAAGGGGAAGTAAGCACAAGCTCAAGAGCAAGATGCAGGGCAGACACAAAAGGGAGATTTCCTGCTTTGGTTTTGAAAGCCCAAGTCCTCAGAGGAATAGAGACGTAACATTTGGGGAACACAACGTGATAAAGAGTAGCCCGCCCCTCAGCTTCTAGTCAACAACACTTCTAAGACAAGATAACCCACCCTAGGACGGGTGGAAGGAATTAGAGCAACCATGCACCCCTACGTCGGGGTTAGGATCTCAGGGAGGCAGGGGAACCCTTGCAGAACCTCCCCTGTCTCTGATGGTCCAGGGCAGCAGAATGAATCCTGGACCCTCACTGTGGCCCTGGGGAAGAGCTGTGTCCTGAACAGGCTGTGGATCAGCACAGCAGCCATCCCGACAGAGGGATGGAAGTGTACCCCGGTGCTTTGGTTCCCTGTGAACCTCCCAGAAGATCTGCCCTGACCCTAAGAAAAGGGGGAAAGGATCATGAATTGACTGTGATTAATGTCCTGCTACTCTGGTAGCAAGGGGTTTCAGCTGAGTTATAGGGAAGGAAAGAAAGATCCTAAAACACCTGAGTTTATTGCTTACGATTTATTCTGCTTTATATGGAACTTCTAACAAACTACATTTAAATGACTGAGGCTAACGATAGTAAACAGTGAAGATGGGGGAGAGGAGCCCTCCTTTCCGCTGGGAGAAGTGCTGGTGGGGAGGAATCAGGGGGCTCCCCGGCCAGGCCGTTTTCCTGCCTCACTAATGTTTCAGCCCCTGCGTTTTGTATCTCAAAATGCCATCAAACAATTCATCCTCCTAACATGTTCTTCTGCGATCTAGTGCCTCTGTCCCGAAACACCTTCATAAAGTCCTTCCGCTTAATGCATCCCTCTTGTCTTTAGCAATTCAAAGGACATCATGCTGGGTCCCAGAATACACCTCAAGATCCTCACGGAGCGAAGCTTGGAGGTGAGCCCCGTTTCCTACACGGAGGGACTGTCTGGGGAGCTGAGACTCAGAGTGAGGACACTGTCTTTTCCTGGTTGCAGAGAACGTTGAGGTAGGGCTGCCTCATGCTTCCCAGTCCTGGTGTTATTTTCCACGCCATCTGTGTCCTGACTACACCCATTGTAGGTATGGAGAAACTGATGCTTCAGCTCTGTGTATTAAGTGCAGGACAATCTAGTTTGCATGTTGTTTTGCTTATCCAAGCATGTAAAATAAACACTTCAAAACACATTGAATTAATACCTCCCTTTGCTGGGATCTCATTTCCACCAAATGTTCAGAAATGGGACACGTGGAAAATGGAAAACAGACCAAAACTATTTGCTCAACTGGCACTGTGGATTAGGGTGTACAGGAGCGTATAAACACACACACCCGCTCCACATACGCACCCTGCAGGTTGAGCCCTGGATTAGGGCCCTTTCAAAGCAGCCAAGGCTGGGCTGCCAAGTTCAGGGTTGCCCTGGGCCTGGCTGTGCTGGGGTGAGGCCAGGGGTGCTTGGGTCAGAGAAATGCAGTGTCCTGGAGCTCACTGAGAGGCCCTGCACCCACTGCCCAGAAAGGGGTGTGGGCCGTCACCTCCTGCTGAGAAGGCCATGGGCACCCAGTGGTCGGCAGAAGGGAGAAGGGGTAAAAGGCCTTCTAGCTCATTGCTGAGTAAAGGCTAGCTCCTGTCCAGGGCCCTGTGGCCCCTTCCCCCAGCAGGACTCCTGGCACATGTCTAAGTGGCCCTGCTCGAGGGAGTATTGAACTCATTCACCCTCCCAGCAGTTGACGCTCATGGGCCTCTTACTCATCCCGAAGTCATCAGTCATGTTTCCAGGAGTATGAGTAATTCAGGGAGGGAGGGCGAAGGGGAGAGGACTCACACTTGTGCAGGGGTGGGGGTGGGGATGATGTTGAAGAGGCAATGTGGCCCAGAATGAGCCCTCATCTCTCTTATTCCAGAGCTGGAAATGCTACTCTTTTTGAGAAGTAATGCATCCTTAATCTGCTGCAAAGTGGTGTGTGTGTGTGTGTGTGTGTGTGTGTGTGTGTAGAATGCTGGCAGTTTAAGGAAACTGGAAACCAAAGCAACAAGGACTTCTTCCTTCATCCCTAGGCAGCTGGGGAAGTGTGGTAGCCCAGAGATGCCAATAGGGTACCTTTTAGACTTGTTGATAAAATATGAACTCGATTTTTTCTAACACATTATCCCATTTGTCTCTCTGAGGGGAACTGAAGCTCAGAGAGGTCATGTGAATTGCCCACCACTGGGAACTATCAGAGCTGGCATTAGAACCCGGGTCCCTAGACTAGTCCAGCACCTACGTCTCTGGACTGTGAGGTCTGGTCTTTGCCAGCCTCTGGACTTGTTTTCTCTGCCAGACCAGCTCTCCACAGCTGGGCTCAGCCCGGACCCGACAGCCATCCCCACCCTTGCCTACGTCACATTCTCCCAGAGGTCCCGGCAGCGGGTGCTCCCGGTGAAGTTCAAGTTCAGATTCTTTTTGCCTCTTCCTGCTCTGGGGCTTGGCTGCCTTCAGGGTAGAATATTTTCTGAGGTAGTAACAGGTGGAAAAGCCAGGAGACCACATGTAGGTTGGAGAGTTGGTGAGCCAATCAGCCCAGACTATAAGAGGTGACCAAGGAAGGGTTCTTCTGGCCCAAACGGTGGTCAGGCATTTGGGCTGTGGATTGGCTGAGGAAGCTGACATCTTAACCCTGTACCTGAGTTTCTTATGTTTCCCGGCACGCTCCTCCCCAGAGGATGGATGGAATACATCCTTAATTCCCTGGAAGCGGAAACCCTGCAGGAAATACACCTGGAAAGGGAACTCCCCCTTGGTGAGCAGCTACTATGTTCCCGGACGTTGTGCTATGTTTTACACGTATTATCTTTTTGGATCCTCACAAAAACTCCCTGTGAGGCAGGCAGTATGATCCTCATTATACGGGTGAGAAACTGAGGGTTCAGAGCTTATGTAACTTGGGCTACATCATCCAACTAGTAAGCGAAAGAGGCAAAATTTGAATCCGGATCTGACAGCTCAGTGCCTAGTCTATCGAGTCACCCTGCCTTAGAAAGTCTACAACAGCTCAGGAAATATATTCTAAACCACCTCATCTCAGGGCCTAACCTCAGATCGAGATCAAAGAAAAAGCCGTTGTCACAGGATAATGACTTCTTGAGATCAGAGCCTCTTATCAGCGGAATTGTGTCCCCCCAAATTCATATGTTGAATTCCTAACATGATTGAATTTGGAGACAGGGTCTTTAAATAGGTAATTAAGTTAAAATGAGGTCATACGGGTGGGCTCTAATCCAATGTGACCGGTGTCCTTCTAAGAAGAGGAGATCGGGACACAGACACACACAGAGGGCAGACCATGTGAAGACACAGGGAGAAAGCGGCTATCTGCAAGCCAAGGCGAGAGGGTTCAGAAGAAACTAGCCTGAAGACCCCGTGATCTTGGACTTCCTGCCTCCAGAATTGTGAGAAAATAAATTTCTGTTTAAGCCACCCCATCTGTAATACTTTGTTACGGCAGCTCTAAGGAATTAATTCAGAGCCCCTTTTAAAGATCATCTCTGCGTTCCGCACACAGTAGGCACAGAATCCACGTCTGTGGATGGGCAGAAAGAAGGAAAGTGCCTCTCCAGTAGGCAGAGAGGATTCAAATTTTGACTTTTGCAACCGGCATCTGTCCTTCTGTTGAAACTTCCTGTTTCTGAGGAACAGAGATTTTTACAGATCCCAGAGGGCATCCAGTAAGCCCAGCAGGGATTACCAAATAATTCTGGTTTTGATGAGCTCAGTGAGTATGAATCAGAAGCAGACAGAGTAGCGTTTCCCTTGAAATAGACCCAAGATTACATTTTAGAGGGAAAGGCAAAAACATGTTTGGGAATTTATCGCCAGCCAGGAAAGATGGACAGTGTTGGGACCCTAGGCCAGGTGGAAAAGGTCTTTCCTTCCTTCTGTGCAGAACAGGAACCACCATGGGCTTGGGCGAGGTCTGATGTTGCTATTGGTCACGCCGGGGCCTGTCCTCGTGGTTCTCACCCAAGTCTCCTATTTGCAAAAGGCAATTCTGGGGTGAGGGTCCCTCCTGGGAGCCCTAGTCATCTTGGTGGGCCGTGGCCTACAGGATGACCTGGCTCCAGCTCCCCCAGGAGGGAGTCCTGGTAGCTTCCCCAGAGATGTAGAGGTTTGGGACAGGGAGAGAGTATGGGGTCCACACAGCTAGGACCCCTCAGCCCCTGACTCAGGGAACCAGGGCTCCAGGTCCTATGATGGGACAAGATGGGGCATGGGTGAGAAGGTCGAGCCAGGGTGGGCCACACATCGTGGTGAAGCCTGGCTGTTTTTTCAAGAGAATCCCATGAAACTGGCCGTGGCTGAGGAAGAGCTGTGAAAAATCATGGAAAGTGAGTTCAAGCAGGAGGTCCTAGGGAGGCCTAGGGATGGTAGAGTTTGGAAGCAGTTAAGAGCTTAGACAACCTGGCTTCTGATCTTGGCTCTGCCATTTATTGGCTGTGTGATGTGGGCAAGCTTCAATGCCTACGGCACCTCAGCCTTTATATCCGTCCACTGGGGAAATCGATCTACCTCCGAGGATCACTGGACGGTGGCATGGGGCGATGTGTGATGAGACCTCCAGTGCAGGCCAGACTCCCGTGAGAACTCCATACTGGGGCCCGTCTCTCTGTGAGCGAGCTGGTCACCCAGCTGTCAGAGTTACTTGCCCACATTAGACGAAGGGTCTCCTCTCCCAGGAGGGGATCTGAGCACGCTCTCCTGGGTTTATACCTTCGGGGGGCCTCACTGCCTGGAAAGAGCATCTCAGCTCCTTCAGGATCGGCTCTCCCTAGCTCTTCAACCTCATTTCTTGCCACCTTCTCCTGCACCCTTTCAGGATCCTCTTACAGTTCCCCAAGTCTCCCTCCACCCTGAAACCTCCGTGCCTTCTAGCACGATGCTCCTTCCTCTGCCTGAAACTCCCCTCCCCCGCCTCCATCGGGCGTCTGCCTACTCCTCCCACAGCACGTATCACAGAGTCCCCTCCCCACCCTCTCCTTCCCTCCTGGGGGGCAGTCTTTCCTGCCACTCCCTCTGAATGGCACCGAGCCCCCTGGCCTCCGGCCACATCTCCCTCTGCCCCCGGCACACCTACACTCTGCAGTGGAACTGTCTTTCCCTTCTAGGCCACAAGCTCCCTGTGTCTTGTCAGTTCTCTCTCCCTCCCCTGTGCCTAGTCCAGTGCTTGAAACACGGTAACAGCTCAATAAACATGTGCTGAAAGACTTGATGACTTGCTAAATGAATGGCTTCTCCGGGATATGGGGGCAAGTCTCATAAATGAGTCACCATGCCCCCTCCCACTGACCCAGGTGAAACAGTCCTTCTGATGACATCACTAGTTGCCCCTGATTCTCAGAATCACCCATGCCTTCTTCTTTCTTCTCCTTTTGGTCCTATTTGCTTTTCATCTCCCTCTTCCTCCTTCCTTTCCTTCCTCCCCTGGGGGCAGCACATCTAAATAAGGTGATGCTCCCCGTGCGGCTGGCCGGGTACAGCCATGGTTTTCACCCAGTTACACTCTTGGATAATGGTGAGATAGAATCCTGAGATCCATCCCCAGGTGAGAAGGTGGGACAGATATGAGTCCTGTGGTGCACCTCGCGTTGGACACACACAGAGACCCTGCAGCAAATGTGGGACCCTGGTGTCCTTGAGTTAACTGAGTAGGAACCTGAAAGGCGTGGGTGGGGGAAGGAGGAAGGTGTTTGATGAGACCTGGGCCAAGGAGAATGGGCACAGTGTGTGGGAACCTGGCAGGTTTGGGACCCTGAAAGCCTCCACATTCAACACTGATTCTGGTGTGGGTGGCGAGGGGGCACCACCCTCACGCATACACTCATGCCTGGCTGCCTGTGGTCCCTTGGGGAGGGCAGTTGTCCTTCCCCAACCCAACTCAGATGAGTAGGCAGGAGCCCAGAGGTGACCGCTCCAGCCCTGACCCCCAGCCAACCCCAGGGTACACCCCCGCTCCTTTTCTCTCATCTTCCCTCCTTTTCCCCAAGACTCCCCTCAACTTCATTAAATGTCTTGGAGGTGTTTCTGGCCTAAGTTATGAGGACTAGGCTTTCAGAGTGTGCCTCGAGATCACTGCCATCTTCCAGTTGTATACTTTTCCATGAGAATGAAAAACTAAATTAGTACCTGCTTCTGGAAAACCGATGTTTATGGGACCATGAAGGAGAAGATGGGATATTTGTGACTCTTAAAACAGAAGACCACAAATATCTGAATAGAAGGCAGCTTCTGAGGCTGGAGAAAAATAATATTATAATGAATAAGAGGACCTGCTACTTCATGTATCTGGTGGAAAATGTATGGCATGAACTGACCTCAAAAAGTTGGTTTGTAAATAAGTGAAAGTAAACGAACCCAAGGAGAGATAAATCAAAGGGTACTTCTTGGGAGGGTTTTACGGGGCAGAGGGGCACCAGCTGGCCACACATCTCTAGCCCCACGCTTCTCACACTTCTCCAGTCATCTCCTTGTCTGTCTCCTCACTGGCTGGTGAGCCCTATACAAGGCTTTACAGGCCCAGTGTCTTTATGTAGCCTCTCTCTCTCAATCCCTAGCGCCAGGCACAGAACCTGGCACACTAGGTAGGGTGATGCATATCATTGATCATCCAAACCGGGACACTTCAAGAGCGAAAGGAGGCTATTACTCATTACGTCAGGACAACAGTTATAATCTGGGACTCATGCATGAACGAACAAATGAACGAATGAATGAAAGATTCTTTAAGAGGTTGAGGCTGTTGGCACTAAGGCAGCCATGATGTCACTGTCGAATGGGAAATTCCTCTACACGTACCACGTGTCCCATTACACGTTGTATGGTCCATCTTTGTTCTTCTCTTGCAGACGAGGACTCCTGTTGCAGGAAGAAAGCTGGGCTGGGACTGAAAGGCCCTGCCGGCGCTGCTCAGAGACTCCTCCACCGTGGGCGCTGCCTGCTTGGGTACAAGGCACTGAGCTAGGCGCTCTGTGTTCTTACCGCGTTTATTCCTCCCACCACCCTTGCGAAATAGACGCTCTTATAACCTTTTCTAGGTGAGTCAACCGAGGCTTAGTGACGTTAAACAACGTGCCCAACGTCACGCAGCTACCGATATCAGAGCCGCAACCCGGGCCCGAGCCTGCTGGACGCCGGCACGTGAGGTTCTAACAGGCCTCAGCCCAGCTTCTGTGCGGCCTGCTCTCTCCTGCTTGGCGCCCGGTGATATCAGGTTCACCTGCTGGAGAGGAGTCACGGGGGCTGGGGGCTGGGGAGCAGAACGGGAACAGAGAGTTTGCCTCCCTGGAGGCCAATGCTGTGTCCAGTTGTGGGGTGGACAGGGCAGTGGCCCGGTCAGGACGGCGGGCAGCGGCTCTTCGTGGCCAGCAAGGCTTTTGGGCTCTCCGCAGGAGAGGATGCCCAGACCCCAGTGTTGCGTCTGAGTCCACATGGCCGGGGAGGGCGGGTTAAGGAAGAGAAAGTGGGTCCCTTCTACATCCTACCTCCTGACCTCCCCACCCACCTTCACCCCTCTGGGGCTGTGAGGCTTCCTTGGACCCGGCCTGGCTATCATTCCAGAACGGCCATCTGAGGCCCAGCCACAAACCATCGGGAGAGCCGGCCCAGGGGCCTGAGGGCTCCAGCAAGGGTGGGCCATAGGGTGGGCCATGCCACGCCCAAGAGCCCGGGGGTGGGGTGAGAGGCTGGCAGGGGCCTGTCCAGGCTGAAATGGAGGAGGGGAGGTAGTGCCAGGACCTGTCTTCCCTCGTAGGCACTGCTCTGGCACCCTGCTGGCTGGATGCGGGGGTTGGGGGGTGGGGGGTTGGGAGGAGGTGGGCCAGGCTGGGTGTAGGCCAGGAAAGGGCTCAGCTAGGGCTCTGCTGAGCACTGGTTCCCCACCTGCCGGCCTCTGCCTGCGACTCTCCTCAGACAGGCCTTGTCCCCTGGCAGCCAACCGGGCCCCAGCCTGGGGACTTGGCCGGCCAAGTACAGCTAACCGGCGCCCTCTAGTGTCTGCCTCTCTCAGTCCAGTTGCCCCTCTTGGGAACAAGGCACATCACACACAACTCCCCTGAGCCAGTCCCCGGGCCAGGCCCCCCACAAACCTATCATGTATCTTCCAAACCAGGACGCCTCTGAGAGTGAGAGGGGGCTCTGCGGACAATGAGGCTAGGACAACAGACATAAAATGGGACTGTCCCAGGCAAGTCGGGGCGTCTGATCACCCCACCCAGGTCAGAAGCACACCCTCCCCGTCGTGGCCGCCAGAACCATCTCTGGGAGGCGTCCCATTAAGGAAATGAGAACCTCGTTAGCACACGGCGTGGGAGAGTAGGTGATCAAGAAACGTGCCATCAATGAACAAGTACCAGCTACACGGGGTGGTGGTAATCACCTGTTTGCTCTAGCTCTGGGGGCCCTGCTGCAGCCGGGCGTCGGGGAAGCGGCATCTAAGTCTCCTTGTGAAGCAGGAAGGAGGACTCTGGCTCTGGAGCCTGGCACGCAGCAGGAGCGCGGGCCTTGGGGCCGATAGAGCAGACCCACACATCGGCCAGTGATTAACCGAGACGTCCCCCTCCGGCCATTTTGGATCTTGCTGCGGCGTCTGGAAAGAAAAGCACCCCTCCAGCAAGAGGACGACATTTTGACACGGCGCTTCTTCCCGCTGGTTTTCAGGTGGGTCCTCAGTCTCCCCGTCCGTCCCTCCTTGCGCTTGCGTTCGCGATGACCTCTACTCTGCTGCTTGCTCCGTGCCCTCCTTGACAAACACAGGCCAGTGGGTGGGCCGCCACCGTCCCCGACCCACCCGTCCCCCTCCATTTCCTCATCACTGCCTCGTGGTTTCTGGGGAAGGCCTCAGGGACTTGTGACGGGGCTCCCTGATGTGGGCTGATGCAATGCGGCCGGCATCTGTGACCCCTGCACCAGGTGGGACCCAGCGCAGGGAAGCAGGATGGGAGCAAAGGATTTCCACAGGTGGGGGTGAGGGGAGGGCCCGAGCGGGCTCAGCTTGGAGAATTCCAGGGCCAGGGCTCTGGGGTGGCTCTGTGTGTGTGTATGATTTGAAGAGACATATAAGTGACTTCGGTGAAGTCAGGCGGATTTGGGGGCTGGCCAGACGCCATTCTGGAGAGTTCCTTGGCATAGGGATGATGGGCCAGGTCTGGTGCCTTGTGTGGGAAAGGGAAGAAAGCTTTAAGCTGGTTTTTGTATTCCTCAAACCAGTTTGCCCACATCCTTGCCATCTGTGCCCCATGAAGGACCTGTTTGCAGCTGGGCATGTCTGGACCTGAGGGGCAGAGCGCCTATGTGAGGCCAGTGGTCTCTCCAGCCTCTCACCCAGTGGTCCCAGCCACTGCTGGAGTGGAGGGAGCATCTGGCTCTGCCTGCTGTCCTCCTGCTCCTCACTCATCCTCTCCCCAGTCCTCCCCCTCCCCCCACCCCCTCCCCTCCCCCCCCCCCCCCCCCCAGTCCTCCCCCTCCCGGAACCCCTATCCCCCAGCCAGTGGGCCCAGCTGGCAGCAGCGCAGGCTCAGTTGCAGCAGTCTCTGCGCCTTTTCTGTCCTCGGGGCCCTGGCTCTAACAGAAGGCTTCCTTCTCCAGCCCACCTGCAGGGCTTTGCACAACCAGCAACACACAAGCATTGGGTCTGGAGCAAAAAACCCTGGGTTTTTAGGAGATTGGGATTGACATATATACACTAATATGTATAAAATGGATAACTAATAAGAACCTGCTGTATAAAAAAATAAATAAAATAAAATTCAAAAATTCAAAAAAAACAAAAACCCTGGGTTTGAGATCAGGCTCTGCCATTTACCAGCTGTGTGGCCTCAGGCAAGCTAAACTCTTGGAACCTCAGTTATCTCATCTGTAAACTGGGGATAATAATACTTGATGGTCCTTATCTCATGGGGCTGTCACATGCAAACAAGGGCTCCACCAATGGGAGGGAGTATTGTCGCTGTTTTCCTACCACACTCAACCCAAACAGAACACTCACCCAAGACTGGAAACATGTTCTGAGGGCTGCGGCTTTACTCATATGGTCACTGTGTGGTGAGCTCACTGTGTGCCAGGCCCTGTTCTAGGGACATGGGCTACACAAGCAAATATGAACCCCCGCCCACCTAAAGCTTACATTCTAGGCGGGGGGCTCCCCACACCCCAATCTGCTCAGCTCTGGCCTTTCTCCTGCATCTGCAGACCTAGCCTGAGAAGTCAGACAGCATCGATCAGGCTGCTAGGGACTCTCTTCCTAAGTACCTCGCAGTCACCTGATGGCCTGGCAGAAGCCCTTGGGTGGGAAAACAAGGTCATTCTGATACTTGCTGGAACACTCAGGGCATTGTAGCAAGAAGAGAGCACGGTCATTAAGTCTAATCGCCCATTTTACAGATGAGGAAATTGGGGTCCAGAAAGGTTTAACTGCCTCACCCTCGGTTATGCAGCTGGTCACACAGTTATTCATTTGGTCAACAAACATTTATTGAGCTCCTACTCTGTGCCTCCCACTGGACACCAGGGACAAGGCTCTGTCTTAGTTTTGGCATATGAAAGCAAGTAGGTGAATTTCTGGTGGTGAAGAGTGCTGGGCAGAAAACTAGGCCTCCAGATAGGGAGGGGGAGTGACTAGGGGTTACGGAGGTCAGGGGAGGCCTCGTGAGGTGTCAGATTTGAGCTGAGGAATCAAGCAGAGGCCTTGAAGGACTCCAGAAATCCCCTCCCTACACTTAAAAGGCAAAGGAGTGCCTCTCCATCCCTGCCCCCTGGGAAGAAGAAATGGCATCAGAAGAGAAAAACGGGGCTTGCGCTCCTGGGGGCAAGCAAGTCTCTCTGAGCCTAACGCTGAGTGACTCCTGGCGTGAAGAGGGAGGTGGCCCTCTCTGTTACCCAGAGCTCAGGGTACCTGGGGTTGCTTTTGTTTTTTTAATAGACTAATTTTTAGAGGAGTTTGAGGTTCACAGCAAAGCTGAGCAGGAAGTACAGAGACTTCCCATTTACCCATGGTCCCCCGTGTACCCCTGCCCTATACATGCACAGCCTCCCCACCATCCACGTTCGCTACCAGCGTGGTCCATCTGTTACAATCCATGAACCTACACTGACATGTTATCACCCAGAGTCCACGGATTACCTTAGGCTTTACTCTCAGTGTTGTACACTCAATGGGTTTTGACACCTGTATCCATCATAATACTATCACACAGAATAGTTTCACTGCCTTAAAAATGCCCTGTGCTCTACTTATCCACTCCTCCCTCCCTCCAAACCCCTGGCAACCACTGATCTTTTTACTGTCTCCATCGTTTTGCCTTTTCCAGGATGTCATAGGGTTGGAATTGTACGGTAGGGAGCCTTTTGAGATTGGCTTCTTTCCTTTAGTAATTTGCATTTAGATTTCCTCCATGTCTTTTCATGGCTTGATAGCTCATTTCTTCTTTTGTTTTTTAAATTTTATTTATTTATTTTTGTCTGCGTTGGGTCTTCGTTGCTGCACGGGGGCTTTCTCTAGTTGCGGCGAGGAGGGGGCTACACTTCGTTGTGGTGCACGGGCTCCTCATTGCGGTGGCTTCTCTTGTTGCGGAGCACGGGCTCTAGGCGCTGGCTTCAGTAGTTGTGGCACGCGGGCTCTAGAGCACAGGCTCAGTAGTTGTGGCGCACGGGTGTAGTTGCTCTGCGGCATGTGGGATCCTCCCGGACCAGGGCTTGAACCCGTGTCCCCTGCATTGGCAGGCGGATTCTTAACCACTGTGCCACCAGGGAAGCCCCTCATTTCTTCTTAATGCTGAGTAAAGTTCTGTCTGGATATAGGGGCTACTTTTGTTTCAGCTTTTGTTTTTCAGCTGGGCTTCCATCTAGCTTTTCCTGCAGCAGTCTCAGCCTGCCAGCCTCTCATTCCCCAGTGGTGGAGGTGGAGCAGGGATGTTGCTGCCTGGTGCTTGCAGCAGGTCCAGCTGGAAAGCATGGGGCCTCTCCGGGCCCCAAGGCTGCACCACCCCCGGTCCCCAACAGGTGGCCACACCACCCAGCTCTGGCCGGCCTCTAGTTGGTAATGACTGAGAGGGACAGGGGCATCTTGGGAGACTGTGTGAGGGAACGAGGTAGAAGTGGTGGCTGTCCCCCATTGGCCACCTCTCTTTCTCTCTCCCTCTTCCCAGGCAACTCAGGCAGCCGAGCTACATTTCTTGGTTTGGGGGAGGGGGAGACCTGGAGCGTTTTGCCATTCGTGTTCTTCAGGGAAAGAAGTTCTGGTGCCTTGCCCTCACACGATACTGTCTTCTAGAAGACTAGAAACTTCCATTGTGTTCACAATGGGATCTGATCCCCCAAGTAGGTAGTTCTCTGGGCAAATGACCCCATTTGCATGGGGAGAGCCTCCCTGGGGTAAGGAGAAAGGGTGCTGGTATATTCTGCTCTTGGAGCTGGCAGCGTAAAGGGAGAACTATTTCTGGAGAAAGAGGCTGCTCCTTTTGTTAGCAAGATTGAACCACAACACCTGGGAATGGATACAGAAAATGTATGTATATACCATACAATGAAAGATTATTCAGCCTTCTAAAGGAATGAAATTCTGATAAATGCTACAGTACAAATGAACCTTGAAAACGTTTTGCCAAGTGAAATAAGCCAGACACCAAAGGACAAATATTGTGTCATTTCACTTATATTATGTATTTGGAAGAGCTAAATTCATAGAGACAGAAAGTAGCATGGTGGTTGCCAGGGGCTGGGTGGAGGGAAGGGGAGTTAGTGTTTAATGGGATCAGAGCTTCAGTTTGGGATGACGAGAAAGTTCCAGAGACGGATGGTGGCGATGGTTGCACAACTTCGTGAATGTACTTAATGCCACTGAACTGTACGCTTAAAAATGATTAAAAGAGTAAATTTTATGTTAGATATATTTTACTACCATAAGAAACCTTAAAAAAAAGACTGAACCAGGATCATAAAGTCCACAGAGCCCATCATGTTCTTTCACCATTGTTCACACTACCCCCCACTATGACGATCCAACACGGAACCCTACGGCTCCCACCCATGGAACCCTACGGCTCAAGAACGGAGCTCTCACTACCTCAAACGAGCTTTGAACCTCAAGTGAAAGGACTTGAGTTGAGCCTAATCGCTGAGCCTCATCTTCCTCAGATATAAAACGGGGAAAGAATACTTGCCCTTTCCTATGTCACAGAACTGTCACAGGATCAGTGAGGTTATGGATGTGAAAGTACGTGTAAATTCTGAAGCACTCAGTACAGATAAGGAATCATAAACAATATCATCCTTATTGCTTCCCTAGGTCATTGGCTCCATCTGGGGACAACTCTAATTGCTGGAAAGTTCAGGCAGAATTGTGAAGTAGCAAAGGTTGCTCTTGGTATCACGCCTCCTCTTACATGTGTCTTAGGATGTGCGTCTCCATTTAGCAGTTTCATCTTCCATCCCAACCCCTTGATATCGTGAGCGATGCTCACCTCCTGCCTATATCTTTTCCCTTGGGAACTGTGTTAGGAAAACCCACTTCTCCTGTGTGTCTCCTTTGCTCCCGCACTTCTATCACACTCACAGCCCTTCTGATGCCAGATGTGTGGGGTTCGTCCCCACCTCCCGACACCAAGCGATTCTGTGACACCAGCTGGGTGTCTTACAATTTAATTTGGAACTTAATCCAATTC